CACTTGCTTCCAGAAAGAGTGTCTAGAATGTCATCAATTCTAGGAAGAGGGTAACTGTCTTTCTTCGTAACCTTATTCAACCTGCGATAGTCAACGCAAAATCTTGTTGAGCCATCTTTCTTTCTGACTAGGACGATGGGAGATGCCCATGGACTTACTGAAAGCTCGATGACATCGCTTTCTTCCATATCTTTTAACAGTGTTCACACCTCTTCCTGTTTAGCCAACGGTAGACGTCTTGGATGTTGCTTGATCGGGGGATGATCGCCGGTATTTATGTTGTGTCAAACTAGTTCGACCCACATCAAAAGACGAGCGGGAGAAAACAACTTGAAGATCTTTAATGACGCGATTGGCAGCATTCTTCTCTTCATCGCTTAATTGCGCATTCTGAAGTAACTCTGATGTAATGCTTTCTGAAGACACGGATTCTTGGATGTTACTCTTTCTTTCAACGCTGGATACTGGAGTACATGCAGCAACCACTTCACCTTTCTTAATAACTCTCGCCTTCTCAGTTACATTGGTGACTCTCACCGGGATAACCGTTCTGGATAGGTCGACGAGTGTCGACGCTACTAGTACTCCTTTTGGGCTATTACAGTTATTGGGATATTCTATGATGCCGTAGCGGAAATTTCTATTTTCGGCTATGGATCCAGGAAGTAAAAACTCAGTTCTTGCGGGTATTGTGATATTGTCTTGAGCTATAATTTTGTGGATAGATTTCACTCCATCATTAGTTCCGAACAGGGCTACGAGTCCAGGGAAAAATTGTATTTCCTTAGAAAGTCCAATCCGAGTATGCAAGAATCAGTGATCTCTGCTACATATGCCGTGTGATGGTAAGCGACACTTCCAAACATGATGTTAACGTTTACTTTTCCGTCGATGTTGATCTCCTCACCGGATACAGTCTGGAGTGTAACGCAGGGCGGCGTCCAGATAAGTTTGCTTCCCAGTTGTTGAGCCAAATCTTTTCGGATGATGGTAATGTTGGCTCCTGTATCTATCGTCATATTGCAGGGAATTCCATTAATATGTCCTATTATGAAAAGTCCATTACTGCCGCCTCTCACTGCAGAAATCTGAAGCGCTTTAAACTGGGGCTTTTCTTTATCTGGCCACCTCCGCCCCGCGAGATGGCCACTAATTAGTTTCCCTGCTGCTTGCTAGAAGCGGTCTTAACATCCGTGCTCTGGGGTGTTCTGCAGTTCCGTCATATGTGTCCTTCAGCTCCACAGTTCCACCATTTTAAGGTCGGTTTCTTTTCACTGATATTTCTTCTTAAGTCATTGAGTTGTCTGGTTATATTGTCTAGATGAACAGTAACTTGATCCCTTGGTTCCTGGACATGAGCAGCTCTGATTGGGTGGCAGTCTCTACGAGTGGCTTGCTGGGCTGCCTCAAATTTCATGGCGTACACTAAAGCGCTTTTCAGATCTTTAACATCCGCCATTCGCAGTGCTTTCTGTATTTCAGGGTCCCAGATGCCATCGATGAAATATTGCAGGGATAGTATTTCCCTTGTTTCTGTCAGGCACTCCGAAAAGGTGTGATGTGACAGCCTTTCAACATCCGTGGCGAGCTCCTGAAGTGTTTCGGTGAGCTTCTGTTGACGGGATTTTAATTGGAGCCTGCTGTAGTCTTTTAAACATTTCTCGCCGAAGCGCAGCTCCAAAGCGCCGGATAGAGCTTCGAAATCTAGCCTTAGATTTTCGGGAAGCGTTTGCAGGATATCCGCTGTGTCTGCTCTCAGAGAAGCGGCGAGATGACAGGCCTTAGCTTGGGAATCCCATCCATTCGCATCCGCAACGATAGAAAACTGGGTCTTATACACTTGCCAGGATGTCTCCCCATCATATGTGGATAGCTTCAGAGATGGACGAGCAGGCATCGGTAAGAATTTAAAATCATCACTCCCGCTCCCTGCCGACGCTACAAATTTCTTTAAAGTATCCATTTCTTTGGCAACTGCAGGACTTCTCTCATCAATTTGTTGTTCGATTTGTTGTTTAACGGAACAAACTCTTCCTTCTATTTCTTCTTTGACTGAATCAACTCTGTAACCTATTTGTTGTTCCACAGCCGAAACTCTGTCTTCTATTTGCGCTTTCACAGAAGAAATGTTTTCTTCAATTTGTCCAACTTTAATTTCAACCGCGTCTATTCTGCCTTCCATAGCCTCAAATTTATTTTCTATTGCGTAGGTAATTTCTCTTTTCATTTCGTCCTGACCTGCTTTCATCTCGTCTTTAAGGGATTTCATTTCTTCCTTAATGGATATTTGACCAGCATCCATTTTCTCTTTAATGTCTTCTTTAAATGATGTTTGGCCAGCTTCCATCTTTTCTTGTACAGCTTTTATATCTTTCTTAACGGAGTTGACGGCTCCTTCCATCTTTTCTTGGAAAGCAGCAAATGCAGTCATCATTTGCCTGAATTGTTCTTCCATCGCTCTTGTTTATTGGCATTCAATACCCCACTCCTGACACCAAAAATTGTTGCGTGCGTACGGGTTCGTTATGAAAGGAATGCACAAGTCCGATGAAAAATGAACAAAAATTTATTATTATCACAACAAAATGCTTAAATTTTCTCAAATTATGATGCAGTATTACAATATCTCACAGTAGCTATCTTTTAACTACTCAAATGTCCAACAGAACATAATTCAAAACAGCTAAAGAAAGCTAATCCGCGAATTCGCTACAATCAACAAGAGCAGTTTTCTAAACAACAACAAACTAAGCAACTGCTACAAATTGAGATGTTTTCCTCCTTTATAAGATTTTTAAATCATGCGCTAGAATTTTCTGGTACTTTCTCGAAATCAAAAAGAGATATTTATTTATTTAATGCACGCGCTCTTGTATTTTCAATTTTCCAGCTTAGCTTTCTTTTAATATTCGTCACGTGCTGTACTGCGAGAGAAATAAAACCATTTAATTTATAATTGAACTAATATTAGCTTTTTAAATACCAAATTCGTAACAATACATTAAAACATATTAGATGAATCTTTTAAATTGTAAGTTTTCAATTTCTTTATTAATAAAAAAAAAATCCCTTTCTATAATTGCCTGCCCATGTGACAAGATTAGAAGCATTTTTGATATTTTCCATGCTTGTGTCTAGTGAAAAGTAGAGAAAATAAAGGGAAGATAAACATGTTAAGAAAATGATTCTGGTATCAGGAGTAGAAGATTCAAATATTATGTTTTCATTGTTCTTCCAGACGTTCTCCAAAAAGGAAGAAATTCATTGCCAACTTTCAGTAAAATACATCCATTACATATTGATATGGAGACATAGACATTTTTCATTTTGTCACATATTTCTCGAAACTTCTAGAATCGTGTGTCTATAAATCTTACCTTCAAATCCTTCTATACTTTCCAAGCTGCAATGGCTAAAATACTAAAGAAAAATTATCCCTATCAATTCAGTAACAGCAAAAAGCCCGAAATATTTTGGGAAAAAAAAGGAGGGAAAAAGTGTAAAATTAATTTTATAGAGAAAACTGATACATATTCTGAGAATTTTGAATATTCCAAGACAATTGCATGTGAAAAACTTTTACAGTGAAAAAATTAAAAAGAAGATATTTTTAACTAATTACATAGCTAATTTTTCTTTTGCTAAGAGCCATTTCGTAAATTGCATTAAACCTTCTTTATTTTTCAGAGTCAAAATATTGTATAATAAGTTGCCAAAATGAAATTTTTTAATGTGACAGCAAAAATTAAAAATGTTTTATTTTAATGTTATTTTTTAAACATAATTTCAATATATTTACCATTATTTTAATGAAATTTATAAATGTTAGGATGTTTTAAAAAAAAATCGTCCAAAAATTCTCAGGTCTCGGAATTAAAAATTTTCTATAGGAACTGATCTTAAAATCGCCAAAATGTTGATAAGTCGCCAAATTTAGAACCGTTTAATAAAAGAATTTACATCTCCAAAAGCGAAAAGTTGTTTAAGAACTCTTTATTAGATAAAATGAATTTCGAAATGCTTATATATCATTTCTTGCTTAGAAACTCAAGTATCCCATCAATTATATTAGAAATAGAAACAAATTATAACCCATAAACCCATTCAAAAGATAACCATATATGCTAGTGAATCGCCGAAAATATTCCTCCAAAATGCTAATTCCCACTAAAAATGCCAATTATAAAAAGAGACAGAAATTTCAGATGATTAAAATTAAGGACTATCTGCTGATTTTGGCCAAAATTAAAGATTAAAAATCGATTCCAAAAAATCTAAGGAATTTTAAGGACTCTTAAGGACCGTACGAACCCTGTCTATAGGTGAACATTAAAGGATTTCAGATAAATATGATGATAGTCAGATAAGCAAGGTAGATATGTATGTCTGTATCAGTCTTCCTGTTTTCAAGGAATGCAGTAGTACATTTGAAAATATGACTTGCTGCTTTGTCTTGATAAAGTTTCTCTTTTTGAAAGTCACTGGGATAAAAAAATCAAATTCCTTCTGTAAATATCAGATGTAAACCTTTCTCTTAAAAGTAGAGTTGACTCCAATCACTTTTTTCCTACGCTTCTTATTTAAAATTTTGCATTGTAAGAGAATCTTAGGACAATCATAAACCCCTCAGTGAAACTTTATTAGCATTAATGGCATCAGGTTGGTACGTGTAAGATATGTTAAATGATGCATGTACAAATTATATGCATACAATATAAAAAGTTAGAATATTATTACAAAAAATAAGAATTAAGTAATCATCTTAAATGCTGTTTCAGAAGGAAAAGGTTAGTACTATATATTTCCATGAAAGAAAAAATTTATTTTTCAAAAACTAAAGTACTTTTTTCAATCAAATATAATTTTCGAACATAACATTTCCTACATCTATAAAACACAATATTAACTAAGTGTAATGTTTAAAAAAATCATTAACAGTTAATAATACTATCTACAACTGTTATTATGAAATTTACGCTATTAAATAAACTGAAAATTACCTTCCGCTGTATGAGGTTTCCCTGGACAGAAATTTGAATTTTGCATTTTCTTTAAACACCCTATTAATAAGAAAAGGACAAGAAAGTCACTATTTCGGAGATTTCACATGCAACATTATTCAAAATCTTTTCCCCTTACAAGTCAATAAATACACTCATGTCCATAAATTAAGGATAATGCAAACAGGCAAAGGAACAGTTAGAAGCAAAACAAATTTGACTTATTTGTAAAGCTTATTTATTAAAGAACAGGTAAAGAGCAAAAAAAGATGCTATATTTGATATTATTAAAAAAAAATAGCGATTTTTTCTCCCTGGAGCAAATTACAAAAAAAACCTATTTACAAAAAAGCAATATTACATGGTTGGTATGATTGTTAATACATTGTATGGCTCCTAGACGATGCAATACAGTCCGTACAACACCTAGGCATGCTGAGTATCAAATTATCGATCTGATCTTGGGGGATATTACACCACTCAAAAAACAATGCTCTCCGAAGTTCCGGTAGACATGTAGGAGAAGGCTGACGGGCTGCAACTTGTCAGCCAAGCATGTCTCACATGTGCTCTACTGGATTCAAGTCCGGTGAGAATGCTGGCCAGTCCATACGGGTGACATCCTCCGATTGAAGGCATTCGCTTACGATGCACGGTGAGGACGGACGTAGTCATCCATAAAAACAAATTGTGCGCCCATGGCGCCCCGAAACAAACGTACATGTTGTTCCAGAATGATGTCCTGATAGATTTGGCTTGTCATGGTTCCAATTTGAACATGCAGGTCAGTTCTGGAACCCAGAATAATTCCACCCCAAACGAGCCCTCCTACACCACCGTAATGGTGTCGTTCAATGATGTTTCCTTGGTGGTAACAGGTACCTGGAGCTCTCCATATGGAAGTTCGGCGAGAATCAGACTGCAGGCTAAACCTGGACTCGTCGGAAAACATCACACAAGCCCACTGTTGCGGTGTCCACAATGCATGCTCTCTACTCTACTAACCGCAGGCGACAGTGAGTTGCAGTAAGTGGAATGCATCTGACAGGTCTACGAGCATATAGACCAATCTGCCCTAAGCATCTGTACATGGTCTGCCTTGAAATTGTCGTACCAGTGGCTGAAGAGAGCTGACAAGACAGGTCTGAGGCTGTGCTCCGCCTGTTTCTTTTGGCAGTAAATGCCAAATACCGGTCCTCATTCGACATTGTAACTCTGGGGCGACCTGTGCTGTAGCGTCTACTCACATTACCATCATCTTGGAATCATTGCCAAAGCCTGGAGATGACACTCTGTGCAATTCCAACTTCGTCTGATATTTCCAGCTGGGTACGCCCACATTCCAGACGGCTGATAATTGTACCACGTAAAAAATCATCCAAATGCGTCCTTTGTGTCAACTATTCGGTTATTGCACTGAAATGCTTATAAAGCGCCTGTGAACAATTTTACTTCTTTGCTTGTATTCCTTATATATCACTCTCTTACACTCTCGTCATTGTCACGTACCATCGGCGTCATTTGGTTACTTCCTGAAATTTGCATATGATTCTTGAAGATGTGTGTAGTAATTTTACAGGTGATATATTTATTTTAGAGTTCCATTTCCACGTGACTCCGAATTATCCTTAATTTATGGACATGAGTGTAAATAGTAAATAAAATAAAAATATAAATGTTTGCTACATGTAAATAATTTGAACAATAATGTCCAAAGTGACACAATTGTAGAGACGATGATGCAACTGGCATAAGTTAATGGCTTCTACAGGATTCATACATATTTCTCTCAAAGAAAATTCAAAACTTTTGAGGCCTAAATAAATAAATAAATAACCTATCAGCAAACAGAGTTGAATAAATTAAACCAATTATCTATGTAACTGCCTTTATTCTTGAAATGCCTTTCTAAGCATGAAACAGAAGCAAGTAGGATATATTTGTGAAAACAAGTTTGAGAATAAACCCAACTCTCTAGAAGTTTTTAAAGAATTAACATTCAATTAATTTCTTAGAACATTTATATTTTGTACTGATAACTAGAATATACTTAGAACATTTATATTTTGTACTGATAACAGTCACACATATTTTAAAGAAGACTCATGTAATCACTATTAAAAACTTCTTCTGTTAAAAAAAAAAACAACACTTTTAAAATCACAAGATAAGAACATTTTGCACATTTAACAGATAATTCCGCATATAATTTATTTGGTTTTAAAAACATGTTAAATGTTTAGAGATAGAAAACATCCACAAAGCTACAAAATATTTGTGAGTTTTTAATGTAAAAATTGTTCGGATATTTTAGCTTATTCATATGCTTTCCTTCGCCTTAATTAATTTTTTAAGTTCATTATGTTCTGATAAATTCCTACTAGTCTCTGTATCATCTGCTAATCTGTTATTATCTTTAACAATATCCTTTTGAAGAAGAATTTCCTTTTGCTTTCTGTAATCAACTTTTTTCTCAATAGTTTTTCTTCCCCTCACTGAATTTTTAGAATTAACAATTTTTTCTGTTCAGGAATAGAATAATTGCTTATTCATGTCTTGGCAAATACCAAATTGTAAACTCCATTTCCTTACTCCTCCATCCCGTAAAAAAGGAGAGGGGAAGGAAATGTGGTTGTTGCATCAGGAAACGTTTTTGCAAATTTTGATACAAAAATTAGGCATAAGGTAATACATAAATAATTTTTTTTAGACATATGGTTTCCGAAAAATGTTTTAAAGTGAGAAAGAGAGCAGTCCTATATTTCAGCCAATATTTAGCTCCAAAATTTAATTCTAATGTCTGTTTTTATTTGTTTGATGATCAAAGAATTAATTTAAATATGTAAAAATCTCTTTTATCTACTATTTCAGTTAATGTTGATTGCGTTGTTCCTTAATCTTCGAACTGGATCCGGCTTATTACTTTTTTTGTAAGAGCAATTTTATAAAAGCAAACTTGAACTTTCGATTATGTCAAATAGAATTTCCGATGCTAGTGCTCCCAAAGGATCTACAAGACGAAAGTATGTTTCGATGTCCATCAAACAAAAAGTGGAATTGCTGCAAAAAATGGATAAAGACATGAAGAAGGTGACAGAGAGGTTAGTGAAAACAAAAAAATTTCAATTGACAAGTTAGTCGGTATTTTCGGCACACAGCGGAATTTTGTAACTGAACAAGAAATTATGTCTGTTTATAGAATTTAAAGAGAAAGTATTATCACATAAAACGAAGCAACTTAAACAACTTACATTGAAAGAAATGTTTAATAAAGTAAACAAATAAATATTAAGCTTTTTTTTTTTTTTTTTTTTTGTAAATTTTGATACCCTTTAGATCATAATTGTTCTTTATTTCATAAATTACGGTTTTATATTTTTAATTTTAGAATTTCTGCATGCTATCTTACGAGATTTAAACTGATGATCTATAATCTGGAAAAATCGATAATCCGAAATCACCGAAGTACCGACGAGTCCGGATTAACGACTTTTGACTGTAGCTGCAATGAATACTTTGTAAGTGTATAAATGAAATTTAATCGATATAGGACCTTGCCTTTTTAAGGGCCTCTTGTGAGTGCATTAAAACACAGTACAGTCTCAATTATTTGACATTTGCTCGTCCAACATTCCATTTATCCTATATAGGCATATATAAGCAATAAAATTTTAGAAATTTATTTCTTCAACAGAGAAGTTTTGGTACTTACATATTATCCCATTGACCAGCCAAGCAAAGCAATTTAGCACTAATTATGGATGACCAGTGTTTTTTAGAATTTCACAGCAATGATTGGAGATCATTGCCAAAATTTTCAGCAGTGATCAACGGGATAACATTTAAGTACCAAAGTTTTTGAAAGAAAATAATTTATCTAGAAAAACTGTTTTGCTGCTAGATGATGCTCCAATGAACCCTGATGCACAAAAACTTCAAGATGGTGAACTGAAGAGATCCTTTCCGCCCAATTCCAATGTAATCTCTGTATGCCAACCTACGGATCAGTGCGTTTCAGAAATAATAAAATGGAATTACAACAGGAAGCTACTGTGCACAATGATATTAGAAACTGAAGGAGGATAAAGCATAACTGAAAAATTGAAAAGCATTAATGTAAAGGATATTGCTTATTGGGTTATATGAGCCTGGGGTACAATAAAAGCTTAATCAAATCATGGAAGAAGCTGCTAGGTTATGATGAAAAGATAAAAACAGAAAACACAGATGACACTGAAGAAACCATTCTACCTCTACTGCAACATATCTGGATGTGAGGATGAATCTTTGTGAGAAATCAAAAGTTAGATGAAGGAATATCAGTATGGGAGAAAAAAATTAAGAAATTGTCACTTCTCAGTTGTGATGAAAATGAAATCAAGCACCAGCTGTTGTTCAGCCTCCCAGAATTTCACATAACAACAGAGCTAAAGCTCTAGAAATAATAATTAAATACACTGAGCAAGAAGAAGCTACAAGAATTGACATAGTGGTGCTGCAAACATGGCAAGATTTGGCATCAGTGAAATAGCCCTCGTCAAGAAAGCAAACTATGATAAAAAAATTTTTTATTCCTTACAGGAGTGAACTTTTCAAGTACTGTATACATCATATTTAACTTAGACAATTCTGTAACAGTAAATAAATGTTTCTGTTTTATTGCAAAAAATCATTATTAGGTTTGTAATAAGTAAAATTATAACATAATTTGACATTAATTGGCCCTTTTCTTAACTGTTCCCTTATTATCCGACATTTTTGCCATCATGCCTACCTGTTTATGTCAAATAAGAGAGTACTTTAACTAGTAACCATCCCTCACGATGAAGCTTGACCTTGCATACATGGGGAATATTGCAAGAATTTCTTCCAAACATATTTATATTATACTAAGATTAGGTCTAATTCTTACGTTTTGATTAACCGGTTGATATATAATCCTAATTTTTCCATCAAAATTTTTTGTGATGTGCATCGTAACATGGTCAGACAACAGCAGCCATAAACACCCCTTTGATGATGAAACGTTTCATTTTGTAAATTTAGTTGAGTTTTTCTTCATCTAACTTCATTCAAATTATCCATTTCGTACTTGCAGGGAAACCACCCCTTCCTTTTCAGCAATGGCAGGTCCTGCCTTACAATTTTAGAATGACATCATGCAACTTTATTCGGTACTTTTCCGTTTTGCCGGCGCAAGCGATAAAGTAGCCAATAATGATACAACCGATGCCAAACGGAATATTCTCGCTGGTAACCTTTTACGTCTCATTTTCAAAACAAGTTGCAGCTCTTTCTTATCAGATTGATTGTTTCTTTCAATACTGGCATATAGAATATACATAATTACATAGAATTTTTATCAGATAGTTCAGTTTTATGTCTAAGGCCATTTTCGGTAATTAAGTCAATTAGGATGCAATCACAGCTCTTACCCGAAGCCGAAAATATAGAAAAGGAAAGTCAAGGGTTAAATTCATCAATTCTAATGAGAATGTATTAGTGATATAAAGCACTGCAGTTTTACATAATTTCTGAGTAAGCTATTCGTACGCATTGAAATATTTCTTGCATTTAAACTTGTGTTCCAAATTAAGATTTAACTTGAAATTAATGTAGATAATTACTGAGAGCATTAGATTTTTGTAGAGTAGTTTATGTGAGATAAGATCGCTTGGGGTCACGTGATATAAACCGGTGAATTAGGATGTTGAACCATGAAAGCATAGTAAATTCTTAAATTAATGTCTTTTTACAAATTTATTGTCTTTTTATAAAGTTTTAAGCGATGTTAAAATGTTTATGCTTTCAAAAAAAAAAAAAAAAATTATGTGTATACTGTATGTTGTCGCCAATAAAGTCTGCTTGGCGAAACGGAAAAGTACCCTTTATTCATGTTTCTGATACAGGCAAAATCAAACACCATCTAACTATGTCTCAGTTGTTTAACTAGCCTATGAATATACACATAAGGACACTAGATTTCACTTCTTTACTTTTCTGTGATTTATAACTTTTTCAAATGTTCATCATATTCTTGGTTGAAGGAAGTATTACATATGTTAAAAGCAATATGACAGCAAGATCATTCAATTACAAAATGAATAATTATAACAAACAAAATTTGGGTATCAGAAAATCATCTTAAAGCTGAAAAATTTATTCTATGAATAAAAAATTTAACCGTCAGCAGTAAGTCTATGTTGATACACGTATAATCTAAAAACTTGTATATGCTGGTAAAATTTCCTTCCACCTTTTCACGGTAATTTAACAGTTCTCTGAAATAGCCACCAGACTGCACTCAACTGTCTCAAACTGATAGCATGAAGAACGGTGAGTTTAAAAGAAATAATATAAGATTTCATTCCCAAATAATTTAATATTTATCTATCAACTAATTTTCCATGTGTTGTTTTTAAGAGGTGAATTATTGCCTCATCCTTATGCTGCAGTTTACATGCACAGACTGCGGAGGAAAAAAATAACTTTTTCATTTGAAAAACATTTCAGATAATGGCCAATTAAAAGTATAAAGCTGACATACAAACAAGGCTGATCTTTGGAATGTAGTAACAGGTGATTTGGCGATGGTTTTTATGATGATAAAAATTGCTAGATGGAAATCTGAAAATATATCACCAGCTTCCTCAAAATTTCAAGGCAACAATTTTATTTACAATAACCTATGGCAAGCAAGCTACATGTTTTGGTGAAAATTTACTCTACGGTACCCCTTGGTGAATCGTTTCTTTTTTGACGCCAAGATCGGTGCCAGAAAGTACCGGCACCAATTTCAAGATGGCTGCTACACAAAAACAAAATAAGAAGTCAAAGACTTACACAAATTCGGTGTCCACATACACATCGACCTATTTTAACTTAAAAAAACAACAGAGAATTGTACAAACTAGGTACTGCGCACTGCCTTAACTTTGTCCATGTACTCATCGATCTATTTTCACTTAAACAAAATCTGGAAGCTAAAGCAAAGTTAAAACTATCATGGTAACCAGAAAAAATTTGCCGCTGTCTTAACACACAGAGATGAAAAAATAACTAAAAATACACAGAGAGGAATAAAAAACCAAAAATACATATTTTCTAACATAAAAACATTAAACAACAAATCTCTTAACAAAAATTAACATACAGAGATGAATAAATAAATGAAACGTCAATTTTTTAACATACCTTTTCTCATGTGCATATGTTTAAGCTTATCACAACCATCTCCTCCATCCTCCAGGTAAGTAATTCAATCAAATTAAACCAGCTTTCATGCAAAAATCAAATGCCTTTCGTCCATCATCCAATTCATACAAAAACCTAAAATTTATACCAAAACAGCAATTGAAAAGAATGGTAAGAACCGAAAACTCCGGTCCATATTAAAGGGTTACTATTACAAAAAATAGCCAAAATCTAAATTTATCACAACACGTTTGGCGATATTCGTAGAAATAATCCCTTTTTAATGACAAAAACCAAAATTTTCCACAAGGCCAGTTTTGCCAACATTCTCTTAACAAAAAAATTAAACATTAAGATTACCAAAAAACTATTTCCAGATTTCATGAACAACCAATACCACTTGGCAATTTTTTCCAAACACCAAGGTGTACTGTACAGTAAAGATTAGCACACATTTTAAATAATTAAGACATACATTTTCAATTTAGTTTTTAAACTTGTTTTATTATTTAGGTAAAACTATATTTGACGATAATTTATTTAATATTTAGATATACATTTCATTCTTGACAAGGAATATACGTACCGCAAATAAGTCCAAATATGCATATAATGAAGACATACTTTTTTTTTTTAATGATTAGGCATTTTCATATGCATGTTTTACTTCAATTAGAAACATTCTCTGCCATTTTACTGTCTTTTTTCAGAAATGTTTTAATTTTTATTTACATGTTACATACCTTAATTTACCTGGATAAGAAAAAAAATCTGCACATATTAGGTTTACTACTTCAGTGAAAATTTCATGTAATTTAGGCATTTTCAAACACTTTATTTTTACTTTAAAAAAATCCCCACAAAAATGGCGTTGTGCACACGCTTGACTTTATCCACGTACACATTGACCTATTTTCACTTAAAAAGTCAAAGAAAATTGACAAAAATCCAATTCTTCTTACTCTTGTAAAAAGTGCTAAACAAATAAGTGGGCGATTCTGCACTTTAGTCGTATTTTTAGTCCATATTTCACAATTTGATTTTTTTACAAACAGGAAAAAAAAAAAAAAAAAATTATCTCTTATAATAATTTAACAATTCAAAAGCTATCTATTACATATTTGAATATATATATACAATCAAGAGAAATAATTAAATCAAAAAGGAATCAACAGTCTAATAGGAAGAACAAAACTAAACCAAAAACATTCAATAAAATAATATATTCTTGAAAATTCTTTGGTCTTTTTTTAAGAAGCAGCCAAGGAATTTCCAACAGAGCCACTATAATTTCTTGAAATAATTTTAAAACATGAAAAATTAAAATATTAATTAGTTTATTAAAAGTGCAATAAAAAGTAAGTAACTGAAAAAATATTTTAACTAATAAGATATATTTTGATTCAATTATCACCTTTTGATTAATTAATTAATTTTGGAGCACTGCATGACTTTAATAATTTATAATCTTATTTTCAAATTCCTAACTTTTGTTTATCATATATTACATTGTAATTAGTAGGTACTTGTACTGAAAAATAAACCTACTTAACAGCGAGTTTTTTGTATTGTTCTGATGAAAATTTCATGCAACCGTTCAAGAGATTCAAGCACAATCTGCAGTGATTGAGTGTAGAGTAGAAAGAATCAAATGAGCAGAGGGGTTGGAAGAATCGACTCAATCAAACCCTAACTTCCTAAGACTGATTTCCTTTGGTTTGTAGTTTTTAGATAGAAACTAGAAATTTTTTTCATAAAGTTGGAAATTAAACTCACTTTTAACATGGGAAGAGAATGGAATGGGTATCTTTCTCTCATAAATTGGAAATTCAATTTTCCTAGTACACTTCCAACAAGAGCTCCTAGTGGCTGAACTCTAAAATAGCTACTGCTCTGTTTTTAGTGAATTACGTTCAGTCGCTTAACAAAGAAAATCAGTTGGACTTGAATTGCTCACCTCTAGTTTGCAGAATCAGGTGAGTAATAAAAGGGAATCTATGACGAGTAAAAGAATAAGAACCACTGGAGTATCTACTTTTTCAATACTATACTGCCCAATTTGTTCTGACCATTTTTGTTGAAAGAAACAGATAAATTGAATTATACATATAAAAAAAAATCCTCTTTTTCAAAAAAAAAAAAAAAAGTAAATATATAAAAGTTTGTTTCTAATAATTAATTAGTACACGTTAAGTCGCAATTTCAGCATCTTCAGAAACAGCTTTCTATACAAGTGATACATTTAATGTATATATTAACGGTATTAATGTTTTTGGGGTACCTAATACGACGCTTTCATGGGTAAGAATGTCTTTACAGGTTAACTCACGTGAAACGTCTTTATAATGTTCCTAGGATAACACAGAGAGTGTTTACGAAACATACACAATAGACATTTAAATATACCCCAGATAAAGCATGAAAGTAGCTGCGAGTACAAATTTTACCATTAGGAGTTTTTTTTTTTTTTTTTATTCATAATATAAGAACTAAAACACAGCCAAAATCAACGTCAACTTTAAAAATTATGCATTTTACAAAACAAATTACGAATTATATAAAAACAAATTTGCAATCGAAGAACGCTTACATAGTAGTTATTGTACCTAATTTCCTTACAGTTCAGCAAATTCCTTAACAGACAGCCAAATTGATACCTCCAATACATAAAATACACACAATGCTTCTAAAGACTGATTTATGCTAGTACAGCATGCTTTCCACATGAACTTATCGACTAGAAGCTCAATGTAAACAACACGTTCAAATCGCCATTTCAAATTTTGTCGCCATATTGAAACAAATGTTCAACACAAGCGATAATGATTTATTACAAAAAAGGAATATGTATGAAAAAATTTATTTAACTAAATATTTTCAAAACTATTCTAAGAATGGTGTTTTCAGCTGAGACAACAGCTTATTTAAATATGAAATTTTTAATATTTCAGAAATGATTTCGAATTTTTGGGAAAAATACTTCAAATATACATACACCGATTGTGCTCTTCTTCTTTCTAGAATTTAGGGAATTTCATTTTCAGATGGCAACAGGTTAGTAATAGTTTTTTAAAAATAGAAAATTAAAGAAAACTTTTGTCTGGCTTTCGCATAAAGAAATATTTTTTGTTTTCTTGACGCAAAATTTAAATTAGCTATGAAAAACTATTAATTTATTCTTCATTAATCCGAACCAGTAGAGTTCCAAATGAACTAGCACAGGCAGTTGTCCTCAATTTTATTATCATACGAAAGCTATTCATTTCTCAAAACCGACAGTACAGAATATATTTATGTTTACCTTTTTTAATAATATTATTCTTTTTTTTTTTTTTTTTTTAATGTTTCACTGAATGTCAGCATTTGGCTACAGACATAGCAACAAAAACATTCTGTTATTATCAAATGATAAACTATTGCAGTGGAATCGCTGTAATCATCACACGAGTAAACTTTAGACAGAAGTATGACAAATTTCGGCAACAGAGCTGCTTTTTATCGCTTTATAAAGTATTAAAAAGTAAAACTTCTATAAGATTCTGCGGGCTACAAAACAAGGATGGGTGAAAATCTCATTACACTCGTGTTAAACTAAGCCCTTGAACTAAATGGTAAATGAGAAAATAAAAGATTTACCATTTTGAACAATGAAATAGTGTTTGGCCACTTCAAAGTGAATCGTCGAATTCATCACACTAAACAAATATGAATGGTTTTTCCTACGGAAAATGCTATTCTCTTGCGATTAGGTTACCCTTTCACGCGATTATCTAGCAGATGTACGTGCATGAAACGCGTTCATCTCCTAGCTGGCACGTCGACGTGATAGAGTGTTTTCTGATTCATCCCCACCCGTCACTTACTCGTGTCAGAAATTTGGAACATTTCAGAAACTAATATGTTTGGTACAAGATGGAGTAGGATTTAAGGTACATGTTACTAAACCACGAGCTGATAGAGAGAGGGCGCTGACTAACAGCGCTCCAGCAATGTAGATGTTTTTGAAATAAATAAACAGTTGAGAACTGAGTAACAGAAAAAACTGGGTCGTATGTAAAATAAATGAAGAACTGTAACAGATTTTTGGTGATGTATATATTTTGTAAATGCACTATAATAAATTTGTTCTAATATCTTCACATTATTGGATTTCTGAAGATCTACCCGGTAGTCAGACTGAACTTAAGTACAAAGTAAATTCGATTTATGAATTTGATATTTCGTATTTTTATGTAACTAAGCACCAAATACCACTCTACAATGTCGGAGAGTGATTATTTCTTCTCGTCTTGATAACTCCTTCCACCGCAGAAACTTAAAATATTCCCTATCCTCTGGATTTAAACTGATTTGTAAAAATAATTTTTTGATGTCTGATGTTACGCCAATTGCGTTTTTCCGAAACTGCATTATTAATTTGGGTACCAACTCTAATAAATTTGGCCCTTTTTCTAAACAATTATTCAAGGAATTTCCTTTGGAATCTTTCATCGACGCATCAAAAAACCGGACGAATTTTTTTTATTGTTACACCAGTTTTTATCACAGGATGATGTGATAAATAGTGACCCCTTTTTCTCGTCTTTATCTATAGTTTCAATAATTCCATCTTGAACACACTCATTAAACACATCATCATATTCTCTTAAATGTCCAGATCTAATGAGATTTTTGGTAGTGGACATTAATCGTTCAGTGGCTAATTCTTTATTCGTTTCTAATTCTGGACGTCCACTTTTCCATGTCAAACATAATTCATATCTTTTGTCTTCGTTTCTTTTAATAGTTTTACGGGAAAAAGCTACTGTTTTTTTAAATCGGTTACCTGCCTTGACTAATATTTCCTTTTTCGTTTGGAAAATCAATCTATTCTGGTACTGCCTCAAGTCTAGCTTCCATCATTATGTATACATTTCCAGTGGAACTATCTTTTACTTTCACATAATCCAGATGAGGATTTACACAGACAGATAAATTACTTGGCAGTGTCCACGGTGTAGTTGTCCAAGCAATCACAGAAACATCTGGACAATTTTTAAATGGAAACAATAACAGCTGTATCAACTACTTCTTTATAGTTTTGTCCAGATTCAAAATTTGACAATAGAGTACTACATGCAGTGGAAAATGGCATCACCTTTACACCTCTATAAACAAATCCTTTTTGTATAATTGCTTGAAAACAAACCATACACTTTCCATAAAAGAATATGGGAAAGAAATTTAGTCATTTTCAAAATCAATCCATCTCCCCATGTGACCAACAATTTCCTCCCATTGTTTTGCATGTCTCAAAACAATTTTCCTGCATTCATTATTATTCTGTTCAATACCAATTTTCTCTACATCACGGGACTTTTTATTCCCAAAGATTTATCAGTTTCATATTCAACTGGTAAGCCATGACAATCCCCTCCAAAACGTCTTTCCACGTGATAAAACTAATGGTTTTTAAAACATTAAACTTAAACAGAGTTCAGATGTAGCTGGTATTACTGAAACAGTAACAAAATGGCGTCCGTGACAGGACGTCGGGTAGCTTTAACTCAAAAGTTATTACAGTGAAATGGATACGTTTGAGTTTTTATTTTAAATAGAGAGTATTACTGTTAAAATTCGAATGATTCATTCTATAATGAATATTTGTTGAACTTTAAATTATTTGTTAAGTATTTGGTTTACGGACAGTAATAACACTACTTTTGATTTCAATTAAGGAAGAACATAAACGATTTAGAGGTAGTTTAAGAACAAATTTTGCTAAGACTGCGAATAATTTAGATGAATTTTTAATGGTCGATATATTAGATTTAGATAAGATTACAGTCCTTTTCTCTCAATTTGATGATAAATGGTAAAAGATAAATACTTTGGATAAACAGGTATTATAGTTATTGAATAGTAAAGCTACCAAGTGTTCTAACGAAGAATTTGAAAAAGAAATCGAAACCACTGAATCATGCAATGATAAATTTATCTATTTTAAAACGAAAGTAACTAGACTTGAGCAGAACTTTAATGAAAGGGAAAATATTTTACCTAAAGATAAAAATGACGCTGTTAAAAAGAAATTTAAACTTCCTAAAATTGAATTAAGAAAATTTAATGGCGAGGCAAAAGAATGGTTAGCATTTTGGGGGCAATTTAGAAGAATTCATGAAGATCAGGAAATTGACCCCGAAGATAAATATCAGTATTTACTACAGTGCACGATACCTGTATCGAAAGCAAGAGATCTTGTAGAGAGTTTTCTACCTAATTCTGAAAACTATAATAAAGCTATCGAATATTTGAATGATAGGTTTGGAAAAGACGATCTTTTGGTTGAAATTTATATGAGGGAACTACTCTGTTTAGTGATGAAAAATAATAGTAATTCTACGAATAAAATTTATGTGTTTAAACTGTATGATAAAACAGAAACACATTTACGTGCGTTAGAAATTTTAAAGGTTACAACCGAGAAATATGCCGCTATGCTGTATCCTCTTGTTGAAGCCTGTTTACCCAATCATATTTTGAGAATATGGGAAAGAAATTTAGCCTCAGCTAATAAAGGTATTTCAACAAATAAATTAGGACATTTGATGACATTCTAAAAAAGAAGTGAAGTGGAAGAGAGAAAACAATGGCCAACAAGGTTTAATGTAGAAGCGGTCACACGAAAGCATTTCCGAAACATAAATATGGAGGGCGGAATGAAATACCGACGCTGCGGGACTTTTAAACAACGAATCGACAAAAGCAAAACCTACAAAAAAGGGAAAGTGTTTTTTTGTGCTCAGAACCACGACTATGTAGAATGTAAATCCGCTAGATGTATGTCTTTAGATGTAAGTTTTTAGATCAAAGAAGACAGATTTTGTTAAAGAAAGGTGTGTGTTTTACTTGTTTAACTCTAGGTCATTTATCTAAAGATTGTAGACAATTTGTTAAGTGCACAAAGTGTTTTAGCAAACATTATTTCCTTATGTGTCCCAACGTAAAGGACTGCAGAGAAACCGAAAGAAAATTAGAAGGCCGAAATTACAGGGCATACTCTGAAGAATCAGACAAGTACACCTGAAGTACTGATGCAAACTCTGAAGGTCCGAATTCATGGAAATCAGAATCAACAGCTCTCGTTTACACTGGGTCTCAAAGATCATATATTACGAAAGAACTGGCATCAGGTATGGGGTATAAACCAGTGGGTGAAGAAAAAATGAAACATATTCTTTTTGGAGGTACAGAATTAGTGCAGGAACATAAAAAGTATCGCGTGATAATAAGTAAATAGAAGGTAATTAAAATAAATTTTGAAGTTGACCAAAAGGAAATATGTGCTACTGTAAAAAGTATGAAAAAGGGAATGTAGACGACTAGGAATATGGCTGAGAGATTACAATAAGGAGAAAGATCCTCTACTGCAACCTACAAAAATACAACTTCTTATTGTGCCAGATATTGCTGGGAGGCTGATGACTGGCAGAGTGAGGAAATTGAAATGCGGATTAACTGTTGAAACTTCTTTAGGGTGGACAGTAATAGAAAAATTACCAAATGTGTGTACACATGAAGATATTTATCTTTTATCCATGTTCATTAATGAAGTTGCCGATCTTTGGAAGTGTTCAGTCTCACCGCCCTGATATATAAACTGTAAAATGTAGAAAATGCCTCCAGAGGGCAGTGCTGTGCAAAAGGGAAAACACCCAGAGGGTTTTCTCGCTTTGGAGAGGAGAGAGTGTTCCCGCCTTTGTGGCGAAAGTGTTGAAATAATTATAGAGATGTGTAATAAAGCTACAGTCTAACTTATAAGTGGTTTCGAGTTATTGAGAAGTTCTGAGTCTTAATATAAACTTTTAGGATGTCTGAAGCTATTGGCATTACCGATCCTGTAGAAAGCGCAACCCGACGAATCTGTGATAATTTTGGAGAAAAGAAAATGTGCTATAAAAGC